AAGGCCTGCAACCTAGAAGCGATGGCCTCCAACCTACTTGCGATGGCTTCCAACCTAGAAATCGGGGGAGGGGGTTACCTTTTGAAATTTCATTTCCGGCTTCATTTTTCTATGCTTTTTCATGGTTCTGGCTGACTTGGGATGACGCATCTGAATCTAGTTGTGGGGGGCTTCAGTAAGGAATGTAATACTTGTCGGGAGGTTTTACTAAAGAATCTAATTGTCGGGATGTATTGCTAAAGAATCTAATTGTCAGGAGGGTTTACTAAAGAATTTAATTGTCGGGTAGTTTTACCAAAGAATGTAATTGTGGGGAGCCAGGAAGTCTGGATTTGCATGGTCAATTTTGAGTATGGAAAAAGACCGCCTCGACTAAATCCGGAGGATTTAGTCAAGGCAAGCTGTTTTTTCTCAAGTCGAGCCTTGCCGCCTCAAGATTTTTCAGCTCGCCTTGACTAAATCTGGAGGATTTATAGTCAAGTTTCAAGGCAAATAGTTTCTATCAACATGGTCTTCAAGGCAAAAACCAGCGCAGCGGCCTTGATTGGTACTCAAACGAACTCAAAGGAACCTCAAATTAACGTACTAGGGGCCGACCTGTCCAACATCTCACGCGCGCCTCACGCAACAAAATTGTCACTTTGGCATCTGCCTTTGGCTTAGTTCATGACTGAACTTGATCCCCGGGCTCATGCACTGTCAGTCTTTTACGAAACCACGGATGGAAGAAGCGAGGCAGCTCTCAATCGGGGACATCGGCGCGCAAGAAAGTTTCCTATTGGAGGCGGTAATCCATCCAAAAGAGATTGACCCCCCTTCCCCCTAATGTAGTCCCTTGATTAATCAACCCCCCCCCCGGCCCCCCCCCCAACAACCAGGGCCTCCAATATAATTTACAAGAAAACTAATCAAAGGACCAAAACAATTGGAATCCTTTTAAAATCTTCTTGGCCTTCTCTGGCAATATTAAAAATAAAAGGGAATCAATTAAATCTCAAATTGAAGACATCTGGAATACTAAAATAAAAGGAAATCAATAAAGTTGACATGGAATTCTCAATATTTTAATGGACATCTGAATCCAAAGACCTTCAAAAGCATCCAATACTTTTGAATAAGGGTTTTGTAAAGAAAGTGTGCACTGACTGTTGGAAACTTTTGGAAAGCTTAAAAACTAAAGAGCTTAGGTAAGTAAAGCAAATCAAAAGGACAAGAAAGGGAATGAATACAAGTTTACCTAAAACAAACTATTTTTTGAAGCCTGAAATCTCTAGACATTATTCTAGGG